TTTCCCTGTGCTATACAGTGTAATCTTGTTTATCTATTCTACAATTTTGAAATCCCAGTCTATCCCTTCCCACCCTCCACCCCCCGGGTAACCACAAGTCTGTATTCTCTGTCCATGAGTCTATTTCTGTCCTGTATTTATGCTTCTTTTTTGTTTGTTTGTTTGTTTTTATTTTTGTTTTTTAGATTCCACATGTGAGCGATCTCATATGGTATTTTTCTTTCTCTTTCTGGCTTACTTCACTTAGAATGACATTCTCTAGGAGCATCCATGTTGCTGCAAATGGCATTATGTTGTCAGTGTTTATGGCTGAGTAGTATTCCATTGTATAAATATACCACATTATATGTACTTTACATCAATAAAAATATTTTTTTAATTTAGAAAGTGAAAATACAGAGAAATGAGCAGAGAAAAATTTAGTCTTGTCATTATTAGTCTTCTATTTTGACCCTGCTATTTTGTCTCAGCCATTTCACCTGATATAATTTTGATTAAAAAGAGTATTATGTTTCTATGCCTCCTAAAACTTAAAATCAAAATTATAAAAAAGAGTAAAATATTTGTTGAAAAATTATTTTTCAGAGATAACTTAATAAGACATTTTAATTCCTGGATCAATTTTTCTTCCTAGCTAACATTTGCAAGTTTAATATAGAATAAAACATAAGTTAAAGAAATTGGACTAGGGACTCAGTAATATATTCAATACACCAAAAAGTTAATAACAGATCATACATTCTAATATGATGTGATTTTGGCCTCATTATTAACATACATAATTCTGGCCAAAGTATTTAGTTAACACTTGAGCTTGAGGGAGTATAAAGCAAACTAACAAACTGACGTACCTGATGCAAAATTGTTTGCTGATTCCTTCTTTACTAAGAATAACTTAATCCAGGTGCTGTGCTCCAGGAAGGAGATGACAGGCTGGTAATCTCAGAAGGAGGGACAGACCCTCTGGAATTCCTCCCGAAGGTTCATTGAGGTTAAGAGAAACGTAGCACCTGACTGTTAGCACCTTTTCTGTTCTATCCAGTTTTTCACAAAAACTCAAGACCCCAACGCTGAGACAGGCTCACAGTCATTACGGTATTAGCCTGCTGTGACTGCCTTTGCTGGGCACAGCAGCAAAGCTGCTCTTTTCTTTGCTCCCAGAACGCTGCCTCTGAGTCTGAATTCGCTGTCTAGGGTAAAGAGGCGGATTTTTTTTTTGGCAACATCTCATAAAATATTGCAGCAAATTCTGGATTAATAAGGTGGCTTTTTCTGGGGGGGTATTACTTTTAAAATATATTAGATAAATCTCTCCTTTACTGTTCTTTGGATTGGGGGATTTTCATTAACCAGATTATAAGGCTTGATTTATTATTGATTTATTATTTGTTTAGTGTTGCCTGGAAGACTGAATTAGCTTCTAGATCCTTGGGGGCAGGCAGTGGGGCCCCAGGCCCACTCAGGTAACTGGGGTGGTTCGTGGTTGGGGTTCAACAATGTGTATTAAGCACTGACTGCATGCAGGCACTTTTCTATATGCTGAGGTAACTCAATGAATGAAGCAGATACAATTCCTGGGGCTCGGGTCTAGTGTGAGAGTCAAGCAGTCAATCCAGGTACCATAAGCATTCATGTCCACAGCGCATTAGCTGTGATGCCCTCCAGGCCTCCTTTAGATATGGATGCGTCCTCCCATGTTCTGACCTTGATGATGAACCACAGGACCAACTAAAACTGTGAGAGGTCTTTAAGTCCACAAGGAGGGCCCCCCTATCTTC